TTGCAAAGGACAGAATCAGTTCCCTGGAGCCACGCTTGTACACCAGGCAAAGGTATATACTCTCTCTTTACATGCCCATAACTCCTATTACCATTAATGGAAGGCACATATGTGCATCTAAAGGGTAAATGCTCTTCAGTCTGCATGACAGAATCCTAATGAAGTAGTTGGAAAAACCAAGTCAATGCACATGTAGTCACACATTCCCCTCCCTTTGCAGGAAACACCACCACCACCACCACCACCTTTGCTCCCCCCGACCAAGAGCAAAGACATTTCATCATCCCACAATGTGGATAAAGAACCTGCTGGATTTCCTCTTGGTAAGATAACATCTTGTTATATTCAGGCGATCTCACGAATGGCTCCATCTCCAAGCATTTTTCAGAATATTTATCCCATGTTACCATCAAACTGACCACACGCTGCTGTCCAAATATTATTTATCACCACCCCCAGTTTCATCAAAGGGTATATGCCCCTTCCCACAGCAAATGTAAAAGACCATATTCAAATTCCAAGGAAAGGGGAAAATAAAAATCCAACCTTAAAAGTTCTATCACCTTTAACAATGGACAGTGCTATTTTCATGGATAGATTAAGATTCCAAAACTGCCTCATAAAAAACAGTCTCTGAATTACTAGCTCCATACTGAACTACCAGTGAGTTTGACTCAAAAAGAGCAGCACGCATAGGACACTACATAACAGGAACTATGAAATTAAGAACCCAACAAATTAAGGCCAGTCCTACACTGGTTAATGTCTGTTGCTGTTACAAGAGATTGTTTCATAGCAAGGCCAGAAGTGTATAACGGAAGAGCCAAATTTTTAAATCCTTTCTTGAAAAAAATCAAGCATATCTGTCAGTGCAGTCCAGGAGAGAGCAGGGGACGCAGCATTGGCAGGAACCTCAAATTCCTGACCAAACCCTCTTCCACACAATGCCTTCTGAAAGAAAGGAACCCAGGGCTTGAGCCAGCCTGACGCTGGCAGACAGACAGGGCTGGCCTTGCAGGATGTCAGAGCGCCAGGCGGCTGCGAGAGATACTGGATTTTCACACAATCCCAGCCTGACTGTTTTGCTCTTCAGGTAATTAAACAAGGAAGCAGGGCTGCTGGGTATGAGCCTGACCCCAAAGCTGCGGCTCCATGGTTCTGCATATCAACTTCCGCAAGAACTGCCCCGAGCATCAACAGAACATTCTCCTCTCACTCTCTCTCATTTCCTTCTCCACCTCTTCCTACAGCTGACCCAGAAACAAATCCTGCTTACAAAAACATCCATAAGAAAGGTCTGAATTTATTTGTAATAAAAATCTCTGTGCTATTCCTGGCCATAATCCTCCAAATTTTATAAAGTAAAAAACTACCTCAATGGCAGGAACATCGTAAATATTCATATATAACAAATGTATATAAAACACTGGTGTCTTAATCAAGATGAGTTAGTCAAAGAAAATAATACCCAAATAATAATTTTAACATGTGCTTGATTAAAGTGTGAATCTTCAAATTCAAAAAGCTTCCCAAGAAATAAATAATTTTGATAGTCCAGTTTACACATTAAATATTTGTTGTGGTGCATAATTAACGGTTATTTTTACATTTTGATAGTAGTCATTAATGTAATCAACTAACACCTATTATCTGTTTTATTACATTTCATCAAAAATCTTATTTAAACAAACTTTAAAATATGCCTGTATGCAAAGTCACCATTAAAACTCCGGAATACAAAAAAATATCCTTTAAAAAATAAGAAAGTGATATATTTATATATGTTATACATATTAAGTAATGATTAGAATCATGCAAATAATATATTCTTCCTTCATCTCAAAATCCATAGAGTAAAATATAGGCTGAAAGAGACAGAGACCAAAAGAGAGAAGAATACAAAAGCATGCCTGCTTGTCTGTGTTCAACACAAAGAACATTAAATGAAAACAACTGGCATGCTGCCAAATTCCTATAGAGGCAAAGAGATTCAAATAAATTGATTTCACGCATCACACTGACCTGGGATCAGTGTGCAGTGCTACAATAAGCTCAAAGCTCCATGTGGGGTAAAGCCCATTAATGCTATCAGACCCCTCAAACATGCCCAAGAAAAACTAAAAGCAGACACTCTAAAACCAGCAATTTTACTTAAGAAAATAACTTTCCTCTTTTCCTAACAAAGATACCAATATTTAAAGGTACACAGCATCATCTATGTTAACATTTTAAAAATAATCCTTTTTCAAAATACGAATGTGGATATTTGAAACCCATACAATATGTAAAAACTGATACTACCTAAATATCCCAACCCATGATACCCATGAATGTAAACACACACCACTTTGCAACAAAAGTCTCCCATCATTCTTTCCTCCCATGCTATTTTCTCTTGCATCTTTTAGAAAGCCAATGGATCTTTCTTTTTTAATATGACAAGTATTGGACCCTTCTTAGAATTTTTCTTAACGGCTTTTAAGAGCAAGCTCCTCAGGCCAGATATTACTCCTAGCTGTCCCAAATCCATCCAGGCCTCCCAATGACACGCATTACAGCAGAACAACTCCGAACAGCATTCTAGAGGACCAAGCACTGTGTGTGTTTTGGGTATGCTTTAAAGCATGGTGCTGGGGGCAGGACATACCAGTGTTCTGCTTTTACCAGCTTCCACCCAAGCTGATGGCATGCCCTCCCCCCATATTATTTCCCCCCTAGCCACCAACCTAACAGAGGCAGGCCTGTCTCCGGAGACCCCCTTGCCTGCTTCAAACCTGCCCCCCACCACACCCACCCACCCCAGACTCTCTAGCGCCACCTCAGGCCATTCTCACTCACAACGCCCACTGGTCAGCTTCTGGTAGTCCTTAGCTGTTTTTGCTTCCAAATTACAACTCCAGAACTCCAAGAACCCAATGGATTCCAGGTGTTTGCAAATTTAAAGTATGTGATTTCTGTTCCTCTCAACTTCTTGGTCAACTTGAGTCTGAATCCCATATTTCTATACATCCATTCTTATCACAAAGGAAGAAAAAACTAGGAGTAAATTTTTTAATGCCAAATAGAAAATAAAGAAAACTCAACAGTTATAAAATAAGCCAACACAAATGTGTATGTGCGTATACACACTGTGTACACGTATCATTCTCTTAAGTATGTACATACACATTACACATATAGGAAAGAGAGAGGGAAAAAGAAGAAATTCAACATGGTGTTTCCAATACATGATGCTGGATATTAAGTATTTGCATATTATAACAAATATGAATGCATTAAGTTGTATTAAGATGTGGGTCCTTACGTGCATTTTGGCTCTTCCGTGTTACAATGGTTCACTGCCAAGAGGTCACAGATATATTCCATATGACCAGAAGAGAATATGATTGTAATGGGATGGATGGGTATGGATAAAGATAACAAATAACTACATGTATTTACATTATATGTTCAAGTTTTAAAATCCAATATCCTTTTCAATTTTTAATCTGCATCTTATTTTCATCATATTAATACCAACCCTGACAGAGATAAATTAGGCAGAGAGCAAAGAATTACATCCTGTTTGGAAACATACCTTCTTCTGATGGAAGATGAGGAAAAACAATTCTAAAGCAGGGTTGGTGATGGTAGTTATTATTATTAGTTTGTTTCCTTTAAGATAAGATATTGCTACCATTCTTTTTCTCTAAGTAAGACTTCAGAAATCTAATCAACCAAGATTTCAGTTCTCAAAAAAACTAATTGTTAGTAACGACAGTATGTAAAGTAAGAAGATAGAAGCAGAGATGGGAGATGCTCAATTGCTTAATACAACTGGACTCTTTGCCTTCTCTTTTGAATTGATGTCTCTCACTAATTATAGTAGAAGAACATCGTCATAACATGGAGGAGGAGGAATGAAAGGAAGCAAAATACAGACACAGAAAGAAAATCATGATTAAGGCCTCCCCAAAGTAATATATCATTCTACAGGGAATTATTTCATCTTTTCTGATCTTTCCAAAAAACCTGTCATTTGCCAACACCTTCCTGGGAACTTTAAGAACAAGCCAGGAAGTATTTGTAGGAATGGCAAGAGTAGTGATTGTGGGGTGGACGCCAGCAGTGGTGTTTCCAGAACAATGGTCACAGAGGGTAAATATTTTGCTACCCCTTTCCACATAGTCACGCAGTCACTGAACTTCAAATCCGTTCCCCAATCACTAGAGTGCCAACCGGTGTCACACGACATTTGTGTTGACTCTCAACTTTTTCTTAGCAGTTTATCCTTATTCACTGGTGCTTCTGCACAAGTCCACTATCTGCTAAACCTGAAACAGGAGACATCAACTCTCTGAACCCATAACTCAGGGCTTCCTTGAATTTTCAAATGTTGCAGACTTTAAGAAGTCTCTTGCCAAATGGCAATGCTTAGTTTATATTTGCTATTTTCCTAAAGTGAGCTATCACTTTTTTTTTTTAACATGTCTATGGATATGAATTCTGCTTAGGAAGTGATATTCGCCTAAAAGTTTTTTTAAAAAATCCAAATCAACAAGAAGAAATAATAAATTGAAAAACACTTTTTTGCCTGTTTAGTCAACAAACTGTTTCAGAAAACACCATCTCCTTGCTACAATAAACACAGAAATCATGGCATAGCTTTTACTCTTTAACTCCAAGTATTGCTCAGCTTATAACAGATGTATCATGAAACATGGCAAGGAGCACTGCAACAAGAAAAGGGTAAAAAAAAATTGGTACTTGATCATTTGATATCTTCAGACCCAAAGCTATCAAGTAAGGTTCCCATAGCCAGATTGGTCCCCGTCCAATCCCCACACCCAAAGATTTCAAAGACAAACGTTTAAAACATACAATGCAAAGTCTTTATCAACAAGCACTAGAATAAGGAAGGAAAAAAAGAAAATCTTCACAATTATAATTTATTGGAAAAAATAATTGATTTTCTTGTATGTAAGTAAATTACAAAATCAAAATATTTGTCTGTTCCTTACCTTGACAATATTCAAAGTTCCCTTTTTTCCGGCAGTCACCTATTACTAAACTCAGTGCTCTCCAAGTGTTTCTTTTGACAGATATCATTCTCCACCAATCGCTCTGCTAATTTCCTCTCTCCTTTTCTGACTGGGACAGAGATTATGTTCACCAGCCCAGAGATCAATCTTTTCTATTGACAACAACAAAGGGAAAAAAAATGCATATATCACAACCAGTCTGAAGTATAATACCCACCTATTTACATAATACTAGGCCAGTTTTGTTTTATAAAACAGATACAAACTCTTCTAAATTTTAGAAGAATCCAAAACAATCCCCATTGTCTCAGTTCCTATAATGATATGCTCTAAAAGACTTTTAATTTTCTAGTCATCTGACTCAAAGCTGGATTCATTCTGAACTTGAAAACTCTTCTTTTCTTAAATTGGTGTTAAAGTACATGTACGTCAATACCTTAAGAGAATGTGTTAGATTTTACCTGTTTTGAAAAAATTAAATAATTTGTCAAATAGTATGGTTTCTTTAGAAAACACTTTAGACATCGTATGTTTTTATTTTTTGGAATTTTGCATGCAAGTTAATTCTGTTTCAAAACAAGTGATATCCACATTGTTTCATTGTTCTGAATTTCGATATTACCATTATTAGCTAACATAGTTTAAAACAACTAATAACAGTGAAGAATAATTTTTATGTAATTAAGTAGTTTAACAATATCAGTAAAAACAATTATTGGTGAATTATTTTACAAAATCAACAAACTTCTACCACTTTCGTTTCTTCTTCTAAAGCAATCCAAATTTTCTCATTTTCCCTGCTAGATTTGGCAGGTTTAGAATTTGCTCATTCATCTATTCACAAATATTTACTGAATGCCTATTACTCACCTACTACTATTAATATGACTACTACTACCACCATTACTATGAATAGAAAAAGCATCACTAATTCTTACACTCTGTGAAATACAAAGGTCTAGCACAATCATATGTACAGAAGGCAGGAACTCAATAAATGCAAAGGAATAAAGATTTATAAATGTATAAAGATTTTTTAAAAAGTACTAAGACTGCTGCTATTATTGAGATGAAATTATTTCCTAGAAATTAAAATTGATGAACATACTCAAACGTATATAAAACAAGCAGATTCTATTTTTTTAAAAAATTAATGTTCTTTATGTGCCACATTATGACTTTGTTGTGATACAATCAGTTGTTTCTTGTTGTTCTTTACAGTAAAAAATAAACAACTAAGTACTGATCAGGAAAAATAGGGTACTAGGATATTTCTTAGCTGCAAATTGCCTTCACGCTCAGCAAAGATCATTAAATACAATCAGTTGGAACTTGGAAATATTTAGCTTACTATGAAACTTACAATTTTATTAAATGATAAAGCAAAAAAAGTCAATAAGAAAATAACCAAGATACACAGATACATATAAACATATATACATTATACTCAATACTAAAACACTGGTGTGGGGGAAGGGCACACAGAAGCAGAGATTGAAAGTAAACACACGTTAATATTTCTGGAAGATAGAAATATGGGTAATTTTTTTACACAATTCTGTTATTTCTAATGTTTCTATACCAAGATAAAAACATTTTATAAATGGAGGCTAAACAAATATTATATGGGGAAAAAGAAGAAAGTGGATACTTTTCTCAGAATTAATCATGATATATGATAATATTTTGTGCTTCAGCAACCATCAACAAAAGACACCAGAGAGTCTGATACAAGTGAATCATGCCCCTTTATGGGCCATAGTTATAATCTCCACTGAACAAATGAAGCAGGCAAGCATACACAAATCCTCCAGAGTCTAAGTCTACTCCTTCCTTCTCATGACTGTTAAATACCAGACTAATGACTGGGTTTACTAACAAAAATGGTGTAGTGAATTTTGGTTTTGAGGCACATAAAATTACCATATGAATAAACTTCCTTTAAAGACAAATTTCTCAATTAGAAATGATCCCTTAATATAGAATATACTGTTTCACTTTTTAACTTCATTTGTGTTGTCTATTTTAATCAGAGTATTAAGAAGTAAACGAAGAAAAGTTGGCAGGAAGGCAGTGTTATGAAATATTTTAAATGTACATATTTATAAATTCTTAAATGTTAACACAGTATACAAATACACAAACAATATATAATGTAAACCTAAAGTTACCCATAAAAATTTTCCCCACTTAATGATTTTATATATGAAACAATATATCACAATCAACAGGATAACTCAAAAAAAAAGGAACTAATCTTTAGATTTTTCAAAATAATGACTTTAAAGTATCATGTTTGTGCTTCATACATTCAACACATTAAATGCCCTTCCAGTGTGAAATGATAATAGAATAAGTGATAGTAACGAGCCCTATGAAATATATGTTCAGATATTTCTGATACCTATTCCACACTAAAGTCTGTATCATGTGCAAATGATAATAAAATTTCTCTATCTTTAATAATTGCTTTGTTTGGATCCCTGGCCCTCAAATTTGCAAAATCTCATTATGAGGGGAACATACTGAGAAAAGTTTAAAAGCTAAGCTCCACCAAGAGCAGAATGCCTCAAACAATTTGTAGTTCTACAAGAGTGTTATTAAAAAGGCTCAAAAAAAAAAAAAAAGGCTCAACATGTTGTATTACCATGGAAATTGTGGAAAACATACATTCCCAAACAAATATTACTTTTTCTCAATGGTATGAAGTAATGAAAACCACATGTGTAAATCTGCGATCCGTGCAGTAGTTCAAGCTGCAGCTAATAGAAAATACAGAAAGTGAACTCTGCTATATAAAGGATTCTTGTTACAGAAATATAATGTGAAAACCAGATGCAGACAGAAAACCTTAATCACAGATGGGAATGTAATCACTGGCATACAGAATACTTTTTTGATCAATCTTAACCATATGCGCAATGTATTTATTTTCTAAGGAATGCAATAACTTGAGAGAACCTTCTATTTGAATTCAGTTAACCTCATATTTATAATGCTTTTATCTTACTCCCCCATCCCTTCAATGTGTACACTGAGCCAAGGGTTTAAAAGGAAGAGTTGCTGGCCTTGGCAAATCATTCTTGTATCAGTTTATCTTTCAAAAATTTAATAGGATGTAAAGTCTACACACATCACAACCAACCTCGAAAGAGATCAAGTGCGGCTCCCCCTTACTGTATTCTCAATCACTGCCAGGAATCCTCTCACTGCCTAAACACATTGCCCTGGAGAATTCTATCAACATTTGGGCATTTTTTCCTTTAGTAAATAATACATACTTATTCCAAAAATGAGCATTTAATCACACCTTGTTTTATCTATCAACCTGGGTTGAATCAAACCTTAACTCTAACTTTTCTCTTTCCCTTCATAAAAACATTTCACAGCATAAAGGATGTTCTTTTACATTAACAAAAATACAATTTGTTTTTGGTTCTAAGGGAAACTACCACAAAAGGAACCTGTTATATCATATCATATCAGAAAACATGACCTTGGTAAGTACAGTCCCTGGCACTGGATAGTAGCTTACCTTTGTCAAAGCTTCACCATGTTATTTGTAAGCAATTCTCCTGTATCTCCCTGATCTGAAGTAGTAGTCAACAGAGCACCATGCATGCCTCCCTTCAGGGCTATACTCAACTTCCAACAGGAAGCGACCGGGACATTGTGTTATTTGGGTGTCCCTCAGCGTAGGTCATGTTAACTACATGTCATTATCCTACTTTCACAAGCTTCCTTAAGCTTCCATGACATGCATTCATCCAGATTCTCTTTCTAAACTACTCATCTCCTAGATACACACAGAGAAGCACAAGGTCCTTATTCCTGCCCTAGTCTCACATTCAAGACCCTTCATAACTTGGCACTAATGCATAGTTTTCAGCCTCCACTCTGACCATGGCCTTACAGAGTGCAGCTATTTGCTGGCTACATAAACTCCCCAAGGGAATGCTTCATCTCATCCTTACAGCTTTGTTCAGCAACATCAGGGCTCTTCCCATACACTGCTGCATGGCCAGCGCCTTCTCATCTCCCGGGTTTCAGTTCAAGAATCATCTCAGAGATGGTTTTCCCAGCCATCCAAAAGAAAGTCTCACCACAACCACCCCATCATTCTAATAGTATTTCTTAATTGTCTTCATTACGTTTAAGACTATGTGAACTAATCTTAATAGCTTCTTTGTTATCTTTCTCCCTCTCCCACCCCTGAACTATAAGCTCTATGAGAGCAGGGCTCTCATCTGTATTGCTTATTACCCTTATCTTGTGTACTTGGAACTATACTCAGTACACAGCAGTAGCCCAAATAAAAACAAATAAATCTCACCTAATGAAATGCCACAAAGGCCCAATTCTAACCTAGGACTTCCACAAACCTTTAGCTGGCTATTCCTAGGGCCCGTGATCTTTTTCTCTTCCTTATATTGTAGCAGCATTTGTGGCCTACATCAGGCTTGGCAGCCCTTTCCCTGCCAGAAACTGCCCACAGGTGCTGTACAGACATAGGCCAGCACAGAAATCACCCAGGACATCCAGGGCTGTGAGGCCAGCCCTTCCTCCTACACTGAGAAGCAGGATGCTGTGATTGAAACTGCAGCTTGAGTCCACACAACCTGTAAGATGTAAATGCACTCTAGCAGTTTTTATGCAGAGGCTTATCTCCCAATTGAGTTCCTTAGCTGTTGTAGAAAAGAATTCCCACCTTATTCTCTTTACACCTTCAGGCCCTGCATTGATGAACTACATTCATTCCACCAGCAGAGCCACGAGGGCGTGGCCATGTTTACCCAACAATGCTCACACCCAGTGCTTAGCACAGTGCCTGGCACACTGAAGGAGTTCACATAAACACTGGCTGAGTGAACAGGGAATAAATGATAATCAAATATTATCCGGTCTTTCTTCAAGCCCTTTCTCTTGTGATAGGGCATTATTTCAAAATCCTACAAATGTTATTTTTAAAGAACAAATTAATCAGAAGGCAGATGACCAACAATGCAGTATGATTAATGAGTTAATAAACCAGCCAATTTTAAATGGTAAAAAGCTGTTAAATATCTCCTCTGTTATAATTTTCAAGAAATAAGAAATAAAGTGTTGTAAAATGACTGTGGCCTGCATGCACGAACCACTTAGAAGGCTACT